GGGGTTGGAGGCGGGGGGCAGCTGGAGCTGGAGGGGCGGGGCTGAGCTCCTCTGTCCCCTCTCCCATGCACGCCCATTAGGGGGCAGGGCCTGTAATTGCCTCACAGGCCGGATCAAAGCCCAAGGTGGGCCGGATCTAGTGTACAGGATCTGGGAGGCAATTGTGACCTGAGACAGGAGCATGCAGAGGGTTTGGATGGTGACCTGGAAGAGGGAGTTGGAGTGCAGGAGGGGCAGCGGTGCCACAGGCAGGCTTTGGCTGGGAGGTGCTTACCTAAACATCTCCTGGATAGCAGCCCTGCAGCACCCAAAGGCAGGATGAGGTCCCTGCCTGCTGCAGCCCCAGACGGCGTAAAATTGCAGGCTGTTCCAGCCATGTGGATCCCAGCTCCGGGAAGGGGAATAAGCTTGCACTGCCCCCATATTCCAGGCCAATCTCTCAGGTCCTATTGGCTGGTTGTTCGTAGGAGCTGAGGACTGGGCTGGGGACAGGGAGATCACACAAAGCTTCCCCATCCCTCCAGAGCAGAGAGCCACGTGGCTGCTGCATGCCTGAGGGTACCTGCAGAGTGGTTTCCGGGCTGGGTCCAGTGGCTTGGCAGGCTGAATCCGGCCCTGGATTACATCCCAGCCCCAGCACAAAGTGCTCGCAAAACAGCTTTTAAAACAAAAAATGTTACATCCTCAATCCTGGGCTAGCTGTCTGCGGACCTGGACCTATTGGTATAAATTAAAAGTTACTTACTGATGTTTTTAAAATGTGCTTCTTTATACTGCAGTAATTGCATCTCCCAGATGAGGTGCAAGCACTCTAAAAAAGACAGAACTATAAACCAAATATTGAATTTTTTCCCCCTCAAGTTTTTGTTCTTGTTTAAAGCGAGTTAGTTTCAAACAAATTAATATAAGCGTTTACAGATTTCTTCTATAAAGATGGCTATTGCCCCCGTTTTATCTGTCCCAGAGAAACGAAAACCACCAGGACAGACATTTTATGCATTTATATTTAAAACTATATTTAATTTTCCTACTGTTGTTACAGAGATAAAGCATAAAAATCAGAATTCACTTAGTAAGAGATTTAAGACTGTGACCCCGATTTAGGTGTAGTTATGAACTGTGCTGCTGCACAGGGACAAGTAGCCACACCATCAAACACATATGTAAAAAAGCAGCAAGATAAGCACTATTATGGCTCAAACAAGCAAAAATAATGTTTAGAAGTGAACATATTTCTTATATAAATAACCGTATATGCTAATTTTATTACTAAAATGGTCTTGTTAGCATTAGATACCTAACTCCACTATAGAAAGTGGAACTAGATTTTTCTTTAGCTTGTACACCATCCACAGGATTGTTAAATACTTTCTAAATACAGGGCAAAATTCTGTGCACAACTGTCAGAACTGAAGGCAGAATTTGAACTACAAAATCTTACTATTAGGGATGATAAATGAGCCACAGGAAAAAAAGCCAGAATTACTCCAAGAATGCAGGTTAGGTATGAATAACTAGAAATTAGAAAATACATATGTTTGTGAGCTGAAAACACAAATGAACTCTAAGTTTGCATTTTTTTTTGTCTAATCTTATGATGCCATTTTCTCAGCCATTTTTAGATAAAGCTGTACTTTAACAGGATAGTACACATTCTCAAGCCTTCTGATTTCTGCACTTGCTTCAGCATCTTTGGTGTTTCTTAATATTTTAAAGTTACCTTGGAGAAGAAAGACGTCTCCTTTCTGACTCTCTTCGTTTCCTTTCTGCTGACCTACTCTTTGCTCTTCTGCCAGGAGACTGTGTTCGAGAGGGAGATTTACTCTGTTTTGATCTGCGATCATTAAGAAGAGGAGACCTGCTTCTTCGCAATTTATCACGTTTTGGAGATAAGCTTCTTCCTTTAGGGCTGCGGCCAGGCCTTCTACTAGGAGACCTGTTTTCTTTCCCTGAAGAAGCATCTTTAGAAGGAGATTTAATTTGCTTCTTCTCTTTGTCAGTCTCCAATCTCCTTGATTTCCTGTCTTTTGATCGTGACCTTCTGTCTTTGGATTTGCTTCTTAGTTCTACTGGAGATTTGGATTTTTTGCCACGATCTCGACTTTTGCTTTCATTTACAACTGGAGACCTTCTGCGATCTCTTGCTTTACTCTTATCATCTGCTTTATTCTTATCCTCTGGAGGAGACTTAGACTTTCTATTTTTCTCTTGAGATCTCCTTTTAAGAGTTGGAGACTTTGATTTCCTTGTTTGATCTTGAGACTTAGTTCTTTTAGATGGGCTTTTTGATTTTCTCCTCTCTTTTGATTTGCTTCTAGTTGTTTTCTCTTTCACTCCATCAATTCCTATCTTATTTTTCTTTTTATCAGATCTGTGCCTCGTCCTTTCTTTTGATTCATTCTTACTTGCTTTTTTGGAACTTGTTTTATTGTCTACAAGCTCTAGTTTTCCCTTAGTGTTTGATGATTTAGTTGAAGACCTATTGCCATTTCGCACCTTTTCATTGATTTCTCCCTCTTCTTCAGAACCTGACTCATAACCTTGTAGTATTAACCCCATCCCAGATTGAACCTTTCCTTCCATTAACTCATTCTCGAGTTCAGCTTTTAATAATGCTCTTTGTTTCTCCAAATCTTCTAGAGGAGCTAAGAAATCGATTTTAGTTCTTTTTGCTGGTCCATCTTCTTTGTCAGAGGCATCAACAACCTCTTTCCGTTTATGTTTCTTATGTTTGTGCCTGTGTTTATGTTTTTTGTCCTTGTCGTCTTCCAAAGAATGTTTGTGTTTCTTGTGTTTACTTCGGTGTTTGTGCTTCTTTTTTTTGTGTCGGCTGTGCTTATTCTGAGGTTGGTCTCCTTCTGATATTTCCCCATTTTCTTCATTGATACTTCTCTCAGAAATATCAGCATCTTCAATTCTGAAAGTACATTAAAAAGTAGATTAGCATACATCGAACACTTCTACTCATTTTTATATTTCTGTCATCTTGACATCATTTAATTTATACAAGATTCTTAAAAAAATTCCAAAAATCAAGAAAACTAGATTACACTAAAATAACAGGATACTGGGAAGGTATTTTTGTCTATGGAATCATACTCGGGTGCATCACACAACCAAATTCTAATGGCATGTAACCCAGGTTTGTGCGGCCACTCAAGATTCAAATGCCACCCAGGTGATTAAAAGAGCACTTACAGCTATTGTTTTGTTTGTACCACATTCACACAAAAATTATTCTGCACAAGGGTGGACATTGTTCTGTAGCATAGTGCAAGTGCAGAATTTATGTTCCCCGGAGATTATTTCCCCCACTTCGAATTTCTTCTAATGGGGAAGTGAAGAGAAGCTGCATTTACCCTTTTGCCCACCAGGGACTGATGTGACACCAGAGGACAGCTGGCTCATGAGCTGCAGCAGCCAGCCAAAAAGAGGGAGGGGACAGGCTGCATTCCTCAAAGCACCCTGCCTGCAGGGTCAAGTTAGGAGGCATGGGATACAGAGGCATAGGGAGAGCAGGGCACATAAAGCTGCTGGGAGGGTGAGGGATGCCACACAGCCTGGGATTTAGAAGGGCTAGTGGGAGGAGACAGACCAACGTGAGAGCACAAGAACTAGTGGGATGACAACATTGAGTCATGGGGTGAATGGAAGTGGAGATGCAGGGCCACATGGGCATGAGGGAAGAGGGGTGCAGGGACAAATGCAGATATGACTGCCTGAGTAGAGAATGGGGGTGCAGGAACACATAGGGACAAGGCCCTATGTGTCTGGCTGAATGGGAAAATCTAGAGGTCAGCCAAGAGGAAGAGGCTCCCAAATTATCCCTCCCTCCCCCATCTAAAAACCCCCAAACTGTTGCATAGTTCTCCCACCCATACCCAAGCAATTCTAAAGATTCTTTCCAAGGCTCCTTCCTAGCAATAACTTCCTGCTCTCACAGGTCTCTCCATTAAACCTGACTTCTCCAAACCTTTGCACTGCTTCTGATGGATGCAGGAAATATGTTTTGCTATTGCAAAAAATGATTATTAAAAGTTCTATAATCTATTTTACACCTAGCAAAAAAAATCTATTGCGCCAAACAAACAAAAAAACACTTCTTGAATTTATCATCATCATCTGTGTTGGTACAGCCGTATTTGCTCACAGGTACTTAGAAATAAATTACCAGATTTGAAACTGGCATGATTATATCATGTTATTTTGACAAAAACATGCAAAATTTTAAAATAGTGTACAGAAATTTTAATTTTTCCGATGTAGAATAGGGATGTAAGCGTCTAATCTATTTGCACTTCCCTCCTCCTTGCTGCCTTTATCAGAGGCATCAAGTAGGGAGGGGGAGCAGGAGCCAGTGCTGGGCGGGGAGCTAGCTTAAAAGCCGGTTCCCACAGCACTCTCACCACAGGGTGAAACGGCACAAGTGGACACGTGGCTCTTGTACATTTCAACGGCAGAGGCTCAGTGGGATAGGGAGTGCCCCCTTATCAACTAATCGATGGAAATTCCATCAACTGATCGATTATCTGCTTAATTTAAATGTAACATCCCTAGTGCAGAACTCCCAACAGTATCTCTTACTTTCCATTCCACCCATATGTGTATTCAAGATTAAACCTTTTTAAAGCATGTACGTTATTTTCAAATGACAAAATACATATATGAACATTTCTGTTTCAAAGGACTGCATAGCACACCTGATTAAGCCATTCTTGCACTATCTTATATGGATTGACTTCTTTAGCAGTATTAACCTTTCTTCTTAAGTATGCACATAGCCTGGCATATAGTGGGTGTAAATACTCTAGAAGCAAAGGCATTTCTGTAATGTGGTAGAAGTGACTATAAGGATCAAGATAAATTAAAATAGGACAATTCAGAATGAGTATCAGAAAAACCTTCCTGACAGCCAGACACATGATTCTGCTTATCTAGCTCCCAAGTAAAGGGTGAAATTTGTAGGCATTTACTAGGGATGTAATAGTATAGTCGATTAACGGATTAACTAATAAGTAAAAGCTTATAGGTTAATGCTATAGACCAGGCATGTCCAAAGTCCGGCCCGGGGGCCAATTGCGGCCCGTGTTCCGGTTTAATACGGCCCCACAGGTAATTTGGCAATATCTATCTTTTATGGCCCCCAACGAATCCATATGTATTGAGATGAATACATTGTAAAATCTCAGTTAATGTCAGTTGGTCTAAATCAGTTATAAATATATTTGGACACAACATGTATACTTGGTGTTATGTTCCTGTTCATATTTTTTGAACTTAAAAGTTGACAGACAACCTTTATTACCAATAATATGTAATGTACTTTACAATGTTCCTGACATATATTTCAGCTTCCTGGATTTTTTTTTCATCTGGCCTTCAGATATGAAAGGCAGAGTGATTTAACACCTGTTTAGATTTGTCATCCATGTGACGAAATGAAAAGTATGCCGTTTGCAATAAACTTTGCATAAAATAGTTAATTTGCATTTAATTTTAATGGTTCAAAGAATGTCAGGCAAAATGGTCGGCCCTCACGCATGTTCACTTCATCAAATCTGGCCCTCTTTGAAAAAAGTTTGGACACCCCTGGCTTAAGTGCCCCTTCCCTCCCCCCCGCCACTCCTTGCCAGTAAATTTTTTAGTAGGCTAGCCAGAAGCCTGGTTCAATCCCGGCTTGCGCTAGGTCCTGGACCTACCCCCATTGTGGCTCTGCATTTAAAACGTATTAGGAGACAGGTGAGCAGGCAGCACGGCTCAGTTCCAGCTTGTGCCGGGTCTGGAAGCTCAGACCCCTTCTTCCCACACAGGGACTTCCCAGGGACTACAGAATAGCTGACTAACCGGTAAGAATTCATGAGGTTAATCGACTATTCAATTAACCTATATTTAACATCCCTAGCATTTACAAGTGGAGTGCACAAAATACTACATGATTATCTAAACACTAAACACTCACTCTTGACTGAAAGTGGGCAAAAAGTTTCCCTGGCAATCCCATCAATTAAAATAAAAATTAATTGCTCCCTACGGGACGGAGGGTGTCTGTCTTGCTCATATCTTCAGCTATTAGCAGACTTAAAATTTTCCTCTTGCTTTGCTCCCGGGAGAACACAATGAGGAACACAGAATTTTAAATGAACAAAATGAGTTGTAATTATTCTGGACTCCAAACAACAAAAAGAAGAAGAACACTTAATAGTGTTAAAAGAGAGAAACTCCTTAGGCAAGCTTCAGCCCACAGAATTAGAAATAATACAGTGGGAAATTTATCAGTTTAATAATACTAGTCTA